CAAGTCACCGTCCCTGCTCCCACCGCTGCTGCAGCTGTGGGGCACACGGTGGACATCGTCGGAATCGACGGTCGAACTGTCGTGTGTGCGCGCCTGAGCAGGCATGCGCTGAAGCACTTTGTACACCACACGGCTGTCAGTACACTGCCACGTGCCCTGAGACTTTGTGTTTACCCTACTGTACTGAAGCGTTCTGTGATTTACTATAAGACTCGACACACCCAGCCACCGGGAGAACAAATTACAGTTAACATGCTCAACAAACTTCCACATCTGCAACTTCCTATTTTAATCAGTTTCCTTCTATACGCAGCTTGTGCCACTTCGAAAGCAGACGCAACGGGAGGCTTTTTATCAGATCGCCTAGAAAAGGAAGCACTGCAGGGCGCGGAAGGGGCAAGTGGGGTAGAAGCTTCAACAGAGCTGCAGAAAAAAGACCTGCCCGAACTGGTGCCCCATTCACTTGCGCCAGCTGGATGGTGGGTGCGATTTCGTGAGCGCGCCAAGCGATTCCTCCGGGGGCGCGGTTGCAGAGGCGGACAGTGTCGTCAACCGAATAACCACATTAACATTGTCCGGATACCGTTTTGATTTACGTTATTCTCTCTTTATCATGAATTCCTGAATAAGGTAACGATATATTTTCTGTGAAATTACTAAGTGAAACTATTGCAAACACGAGAATCGTCTAAATATATCGACTCCCCAGGTCCTCCGATTCCAGCCCAAATTTAATGTTTTTGTTCCAATTATGAAACCGTTTAGGGTAGGGTGGGGGAATAAGTATCCCCCGTATCACAGGTGTCCTTGGGCTGAATTCTGGGCTAAATTCAGATGGCCGAACTGTACTGGGGGGTAAACGAACCCACGGCCTCCCGTTGGACACCGCCTACTGGATTTTTTAAGAAAAAGCCCGTACCATGGGGAAAAGGGGATTTCGGTGGCAATGGGCAGCCAACACTCCGGTGGGTCGTCGGCAGCCTGCATACTAGGGTCAGAAGGCGGTAAAAAAGACTCTTTAAGTTTATATAGTGAAAATCCCATTCCGAGGTAGCGTCAGGAGAAGAAGAGGCTTATACCGACAGAGGTTTATTGGACGTCTCACATTTCAAGGAGTGATTTCGCCTACCCATCTGCAGAGATTGGAAGTTCATGTGCACAGCCCTCATAATATGGCGCCCAGCTGCGGGATGTACAACTACGTTGAGGAGACCAGCCGATGGCTACTAACGTGGACGCATGAACTTCACTTGACAGTACGAAGATTGGACCTAACGTCAGAGGTAGCAAGCCATGTCGCGCTGATGGGACACAGCTTCAACTTTAACGCCGTTGAAATTGTCGGCCGAGGTGCTGATCACACGTCAGGGCAGGTACAAGAAGCCTGGGTGTCTTCCGACTGCTCAGTCTACCGCTAAATTAATTTTCTTGTCCCCTATCCGGCTTAACGAGCTGCGAACTTGAGTCTCCAGCCTCCGAAGATGGGTAGGCGAAGTCACTACTCGAACGCCCCTTCATCTTTTTACCAATTAAATTATATCAGCCTACTGAAGAGGAGTAAGTAGGCACTATGTGGGAATTGAGTACTGGTGGCGTTCTGATTTATGTGTCACCATGTGGACAAATTTTGGTACAGCAACGCATTTTACTGTAGCGGATCGGTGAAAAGTGCCATTTAAATATGAAGAACTCGGTTTGAACGGACAGAGGCTTCCGATTAAGTCTATTGGGCTTAGTTATACTGGGGTCTTACAACTGAAGGGTGGGCAACCAATGGTTAGTATGAACGGGAGGAGGTTGGAAACGCTTATTCACACAGCAGGACGATCAGAGAAGGAAGAACCGCGCCTGCTCATTTCCCCAACATCCAGTTTGTCGTTACACCGTAGGGGTTAAATCCCCGGTTCGTCCACTTCTCAAACCCGGTCGTCAAAAACACGAGTAATCTCTCCTTGCCCTTTCTACGCCGTTAGTAGTGCCGCCCTCATCAGTGTGCAGCTCTGCGTTTTACTAGTATAATAGGCCCGGGGATAACTTGAAAGTGCACATCCCTTTAAAAGGATTTATGTTCAGTCGAATGAGGATTTTTACGGTCAACCGCAGTTGACGGTCAGTGAAATGCCCCAATCAAAAGTCAACAAATCAGTTTTTCATCTCTGTTTCCGATTGGTTATCATCAAATCCATCATACTAACATGGTCCAAGACCGAATAATTTAAGGGGAAAAGAAGGATTTTTAGTGTAAGATAGGATCTCCAGAACAAGAGTTCTGACAGTCTAGTTTTCAGATTCACACTCGAATCAATCAAAAGAGGCCGCGTAAGATAAGGATAATGACAGCATAAGCGCTACATTATTTTTGGGATGCAGTTGCAATGCTATACAAACATACGTATCCAAAAATGGTGGCTCCCACACTCGATGTCGTCGTTTGATGCAATGATAATTTGATTGCGGTAGCCAATTCATCAATTGCTGCGTATTTAAAACTCAAGCGGGTTGTTTATTGTCGTATCACCCGGTGGTTCAACTCGAGGCAATCATATATATTATCCGACTTCAACAATACGACAGTTCGACCGTCGCATCCGACGACGTCTACTGTGTACTCCACAGAGGGGTGAAACCAGGCACGGTGACTTGCGCGTGATTTAGTTTTTAGTGAACGTAGACTTACACAGCCTATGCCGCACCCTCTCCTCTCACCCGGACCCGATGTCAAGGTAGACTTGAGAAGACAGGAGGTGGAAGAGGGCGCAGGTAGCTGGCGCGACCGAAGCCGTACCTAGGCGTGCCGTCACACTCGGTTGGGATCCCATGGTCTGGGAGTGTCCTAATGGCCGCATTAAGAAGAAGAAGCCATTGCGGCCTGACCCTTAGACCACTAGTCGACTGCGAGATCCAAGTTATCCTGTCAGTTGGTAATCTTCCAAGCCACGGCTTTTAGCGCACCGTGATAGCTTCAAGCGCGTCGGATTGTTTATACTGAGGAAGAGAATGCGCTGAGTCGTCGACCTCACTCTCCCAGTCACTATCCGAGCCGGTCAGTTGACCGCAGCGGAGAATGGGCGCGGTGCCCGCTCCAGAGGCTCGACCTGACCCCCAAAACACAAGCACCAGGATCTTACACGACAGGGGTTGGGTGGTATATATCTCACATGCGTGACAGCTTGACTCTGAGCCCACCATTACACAATTCCACACAAACACACACACACAACTTGACGGACTGCGTGGACTGAGTTGGGCCATCAGTCAACAGCCTTACAAGCCACGATGCTTGACGCACCGTGATAGTCTCAAATTCGAATCCCACATGCAGGAGAGGAGCCACATGAAGAAGGAGCTGAGATGCACACCTCCCATATGTATGGGAGGTAGCAATTGTGTGCTTGCGATGGATGGTGATGTTATATGATGCACGTGTTTGTAGGGGAAGATGTGATGGTGTGGCGTAGCCGACAGTTGACTACCGCAGATTTTCGTGAATGCGCATATGGCCTAATAGACCCATGCGGTGGGTGAATGTGCAGGTGGTGTGATAGCGGTCGAGGCGGATGCGTTGGGTGTTGGTTGGTGCTCCAGGCGCTGGTTCGCCAGTCTCTGTGCGATGGGTTTGCAAGTGACCGATCAGGCCGATGTATGAGGTGAAGATGCGATCGTAATGAGAACAGGTATGGACTAGGTCCCCATCACTGGTACTGACGGTGGTGAGATTTATGTTTGTCGGTGTGTCAGGATTGTGTGCAGTGGCAGGGGGTGCAGAAACCGCTGCAGTGCATGTTGAGGTCATGAAGGAGGATGGTAGTGTGGGTTCAGGAGTGCGGTTAGTGCTGGTTGTCGACGTGGAGGGCGAGGAGGAGGTGAACGGGAAGACATTGGGTGGTGTCGTCTGGGTGTTGTAGTTGATTCGAAGATGCCCAATTAGACGGCTAGTGGCCGGAACGCTGGTTGACATCGTGGACACGTCGGGGCGGTCGAGCGTTGGCGTTGCGACACGGGAGCAGTTGAGATTTACTATCTTCACGTTGGGCTTTGGCGTCTCTGACGCGTTTGACTTAGTAGATTGCTGCGCCTGTCTTTGCCGCTCTCCTCCAGGCAGGGTCGGTCCCGAACAAGGTTCTCCTAATTGGACGGGTTGATTTGCAGGCGCCTCAGGGAATCCTTCAGGATATCCTTGTACCGCCGGACTTGGCCTCCTTGTCGGCGGGAACCCGTGGCGACTTCTCCATAGAAGAGTTGCTTATGTAACCGCTCCTCGTCCATGCGCACCAGATGGCCGCTCCAGCGCAGTTGAAGTTGTCTCAGCACGGTGCAGATGCTGAGGATTCCCGTCCACTCCATTGCGTCCATGTCCAGGATCCGGTCCTGCCACCTCAGCTTTAGTATTTGACGAAGACAACTGAGGCGGAAGTGATTTAGTCTTCGCGCCTGCTTTTTGTACACCGTCTAGGTCTCCGCTTCATACAGCAACGTCGGCAGGCTGATTGCTTTGCACATGGTCAGTTTGATGTGGAGGTGGAAACTATGACGATTCCAGACGGTGTTTTGTAGGCGATCGAAGGCTTGGCTGTAATTGGAAATCCGGCAGGTCACTTCATCGTCAATTTTGTTATTGCAAGAGAGGATGCTGCCCAGGTAAGCGAAGTTGTCTGCGACTTGCAGTTGGACGTCGTTCACGTTGATTTGGAGTGCGACGTAGGCAGCGTCGGGCGCATAACCATCGTATTCTCCGTGTTAATGACATGGCCGAAGTTGTCGCAGGCAGCGGCAACTTGGAGTTTGGGTTGCACACAGGTCAGAAGCAACCATTAGGCGCAAGTCATGACGCCAAAAGGCCCGCTGCCACGGCAGGAAACGTCTGGAGTCGTTTACCGGATCTGGTGCAGTTGAGGACAAAGCAACTACGTCGGAGAAACCGGATGATTACTCCGTACGCGAATGGACGAGAACGCAGCAGCAGTGAGGCGGGGAGACGCTAACTCTCAGGTGGCGGCACA